AGGAATGACATACAACCAATTTACTCACAGTTAACTTAAGCATAAATGTATACACATAATCAGTTATAATTAATATCCACATCGAACTAGGGAGTACATGATTCTGGTGTTCTTTCCAATTCCTTCTCAGTGAGGGATCTCAGGAGAGCTTTGTCTATATGTGCCTAATCCGACAGGAACACCTCTGCCCTGGCCCTTTTAAAACCTTCTTTCTTCTACATTCATCACATGGTTCTTTGTGGCCTCTGGTCCCTCCTATATCCCCCACTAGTATCTGGCCCATGATGGGCCACTTGGGACCATCTGGGACCAGTTTTCTATTGCAGCCAATTCTTAATGCTTGAAGTTCAGAGTTTAAGAATCATCACCGGCCGGGCGCGGTGGCTCAAGCCTGTAATCCCAGCACTTTGGGAGGCCGAGACGGGCGGATCACGAGGTCAGGAGATCGAGACCATCCTGGCTAACACAATGAAACCCCGTCTCCACTAAAAATACAAAAAAATTAGCCGGGCGTGGTGGCGGCGCCTGTAGTCCCAGCTACTCGGGAGGCTGAGGCAGGAGAATGGCGGGAACCCGGGAGGCGGAGCTTGCAGTGAGCCGAGATCGCGCCACTGCACTCCAGCCTGGGCGACAGAGCGAGACTCCGCCTCAAAAAAAAAAAAAAAAAAAAAAAAGAATCATCACCATTAACTCTGACCATTGTTGGTCCCAAATCCATTTTCTCTCAGTAAAACGAGAATAGTCTTACAGGGTTGTTCAAAAATAATATTTAATCCAGTTAGCACAATGCCAGCCACTTATATAGTAGGCATTTTTTATGTCAGCGATCATCATCCTGCTCTTCCTTATTCAGCTACTTGTTAAGGTGATTCCCAAAGATGCCCTTCAAAGCAACCTCCAGCAATTTCCCTTCACATTAAGAGAAGATGGTTTTATGAATCACCCTGAATTTGGCAGGAAAAAGACAACTTTCAAGTGGAGAGTTACAAACAAAGCAAAAAACTAATTCCCTGATGATGCAAAAGTAATCTACTTTTTGCCTACTTTTTCAGTTCCACTTTAAACCCATCCAAGTGTAGTTTTGTTGTTTGATTACTTAATGCCACACAGGTAGGTGCTTCTGGGGAGTTAATTTACCTTCAAAGGGCCAGCCTAGCATCTTTATCCTAAATGTGTAAAGGAACCAACAGAATCTCATTTTAACACATTACCATTCTACTCCTCATCCAAGCTTACTTAAATGCTAAGTTTAGGCAGCACATGGTGGGCCAGATTCAGTTCACACTGTGAAGTAGAAACCAGAAGAAAGCGACAGGTTTTCTATGGATGTGGCACCCTCAGAGTTGGTTTGCAAACCAGCTACTGCTGGGATCATGATGTTTGGGATCACACCCCAGACCAGAGCACAGCAACATGAAGAAGGGGGCAACCTATTCAGTTGTGCTGTAACTGACTTGGCATGAGGTGGTGGGGGTGACTCCTTCAAAGGAGAACTGAACACCATGCATGGATTAAGACTGTATTTAGCAGACAGGAGTACTTCATCCACCAGGAAGAAAAGTATTAAGCACAGGGATGATTTCCCAGATTCTATCTCAGTATGGTCAGCATCTCCTCTGAGATTTTGCAATTTGCTTTTTTTTTTTTTTAATTCTGTGATCACTGAGCAAGCTTCTGACTCTTATTTCAGTCACCCCAGTCACCTTAATACTGAAAAGGGGTATCTTGGGTCATAGAAATAAATATCTCAGTTACTGGGATGGTAGTGCCTCTCATTTTATAGGAATAAATTTGTTTTGTTGCATATACATCAATTTTCTGGGAGTTTAGCATGATTCAGTCTAGTAAGATCCAAGTTCACTTCAAAACTAGAAGGTTTCTATTAGAAAGTTGAGAACCAAACTTTAAATCAGCATTTCATTTAACTCTACTGTACCTCGGTTTCCTTACCTATAAAAGCATAGAGAAATAACAGCACCTACTTTAAATGGTTGTTGTGAGGATTCATGATTTAATAGATACACATTATTCGTGTATATGTATGTATATGAAATGATTTAACATATGGAAAGTACTTAGGATGGTGCTTGTTTTTCATAATGACCCACAGGTGCTACCCACTTACAAAGAATGTCCTGCTAAAAGCAGCCAGCTGTCATCTCTCCTTCCTAAACTTTCTTGCACAACCCTCTAAGAACTTACCTCATTTAGCCACTCCACTGTGAAAACCAGAGGCTTCAAATAAAAGCTACACTGAGAATGGCTTTGGCTTCATAAGCACATGACTTGTATGATTGCATAGGCCCTGAGTTTGGTTTGATGCTCACCTGTTGCCATTTGGAAATTATTAATAATTTTTCAACGGAGGCCTGACATTTTTATTTTGCACTGCACCCTACATGTTATGCAGCCAATCCTAGCCACACAAGACCAAAAAACTAGCCTAGTGATCTCAGATAAACTACAGTACCCATACTTCCTTCTGGGTGACTCTGTCCTAGTTCCATGGTATGAGGAGAATGATGAGAAAGGTGGATTAATATAGCCATAGACATAGCCTTGCCAATGAGCAGAGTGGCAGCTTCTTGGATATGCAGCAACATTTCCAAGCTACAGGCAGTAAGTTCTCTTTCAAGGGTCTCAGTAGACTCAAGGAAAACTAAAAGAAACTCTGAAAGTGCTTCCCATCCCTCCTCCTCCACACTGCAATAACAAACTCACTTGATAATTCATTGTAAAATGATCTGAATTCCTCAGAGACATGGAGAAATCAGCTTGGCTTTCAGCACAGGGAGTGACACCAGAACATCAGCCATTGCAGGGAAACAGAGCACGAGGTCACTCTGGATGAGGTCTCCCAATGGAGACTACTGCAGGGGAATGGGGAGGGTGCAGTGGCTTCAGAAAAGCAGCTGGTACCAGCAACCCTTACAGGTGACATGGAAGCAAGAGCTTTGGCTCTGGAAAATCTTTCACCAGTGAATGAGGAGGCTGTCCTGTCTAAGTGTCCCTCTGAGACACCCAGAAGGAACTCCCTGTTTGGGCGGAAGGAACTGTGGTTGGAGTTCCACTAAATTCAGTACTGGGAATTAGAGGCAGAGTGTGTGGAACACTACTGTAAAGTGCTCCTCCTTTGAGTTTCCAAGATGGAGTGGTCCAGGGAGAAACGGACTCTACCAATGTTCGGTCCCATGGTTCTCATATGTATGAATGTCTGTGTTTATACAGTGGGTCTGACTTTGACACCTGCAGCCATAACATCACCTCTCCATTCCCAAGTGAGTTCCTGTCATCTTCTGATTCTCCTCTCTGTGGCCCTGATATCACCATGTAATTTCCCAATGGTTACTCGCCGCTAGGATGTGTGGATGAGCCTTTGGAAACACTGCTGCAAAGCCGCTTGTTGAGAAACCCATCTATGTGTCCTGGCTCTCAATAATTCAGTTCCTTTGAACATGCTGGTTCACTTTGTTCTGATTTTAGAATCTGGAAATGCAGAGCAAGACATTTCTAAGCTGGGAATTTGCCATCCTGTTGCAGGAGCACAGCAGCAGTCCCAGAGAAATATTTTTCAAGGCTGCAGAGAAAACAAGGGCTGGAAAAATGTTTGTTTATTGCCAGCTCTCCCCACAGCCGCTTACATAACAGCCTGTGCTGAGACAGGCTGTCCTGCCCAGGCTCAGAATCAAGAGTCACACTCCTTGGGATGATGACAGAGACAATGTGGGAACTACAGGGCTATGGCCTATGACGTCCAGGAAGGAAAACCAAGTGGTGTGTAGCGATTAGTTCTTTCACAATGAGGGGATGGCTTCCTGGGGTGTTTTCAAGCTTTCGGGTGGTGGCACAGTCTGCAAGACGGGGAAAGGCTCTGTGAACAAGATATGACTAAAGAATAGTTTCTCATTTTCCATTTTTAAAAATAAAACAATGCATACTCAACAGTGCGTGAGCTGAAGGGTAGAGTCAAAAGTTTAGGTATTTTCTGACCTTTCAGATCCATTCAGACTTTCTAAAAGCCACAGACATAAACACTATATCCAAATGTGGGAGCATTTAAAAAGTTTGGACAAAATAGTATACATTTTGTTCAACAGTTTATTGCAAAGAAAAAAAAAGGGAAGAAGCACATGAGTTTTTTTCTTCAGAAAACAAACACAAAAAACTAACTCTGCCAGGAAAAAATGTGAAACCCGTAGACAGATCATGCTTAAGGGTTTAAGGGGACAGCTTGCCTCCCCCACGGCTTTACTGAAAAGCAGATGTGATGGGCAGCATCACAGAGGCCTGTAATCCAGCTCGGCGCAGCAGCCACAGGCAGCCTACACTCTTTCAACAGCCTTCCTCTCGGGGAGACCCAGGGCCTCTTGGACTGTTCCAGGCTTTAAGTGCATATCAAACAAACATTTGCCATATGTTTTAACTTAATTTCTAGGTTAAACGTAGGCCCATTCATTCTCATTCCTTGCTTAACAGCCTTCCTGAGTAATTGTCTATTGACTTTGCTGCTTGCTGGTCATACCTGGGTGTGCATTTGTCTTACACCAGACACACCTAACTCTCAGCCTCTGTAGTCACAAATAAGGGTTCTACTTGTTGCTTTAGAATGACAAGTTGCAACTAGCATAGTGTTACACATAGAAGATACTCAATTGGTATTTTGTTGATGGAGTCATGTCTCTGTCTCGCTTCTTATTCTTCTAGCTTACTTCCCCCACTCCTACTTTTATTTCTTTCTTCCCCCTCTTTTGTCAAAAGGTTGGGCTTACCAGAAAATCCACTGAGTACTTGCTAACCCTCTGATTTACACCACACGAGTAGCACCAGGTCCACAAGACAGAAAAAAACTCACCTTGGGTTCCCAAGGTTGGCCTGAATCTTTGAAAATGTGGGGTCGTGATTTATTTTAGTCAAGTGGAGATCTAAAAAGGAGCAAAGATAACAGGACCCCGCAATTCACCCACTGGATCCTGTATGTAAGAACCTTTGTGATTTCTCACCTTGGTAATTTCCTGCCCTCTCTTTCCGCGGGTTCTTCCCCAAACCATCATGGACCGGTTGGACTCTGAGAAGAAAAGTTTCTGATCTTTAGTTCATTCTTCCAAGTTTCTAGAAAGCAGGAAAACTGAGAATGAAAAATTCTAAATTACTCAGGACTCATGGGTCGCCAATAGAAGAAATACATCTTAAACTGGCATAAGCCTGAAAGGGAAATGTATTTGTTCATGTAATTGAACCATAATGAAGGATGGTGGACTGAGGGACCTGAAAACACCCTCAGGACTCCCTCACTCTCCTTTGTGCTCCTGTCTGATGCCATCTTCCCAGACCTGCTCACTCTCCGTAAGGTGGGGATGTAGTCATCAGCAAAGTGCACCTCCCCACAGCTTGTGACCTGAGTAGATAGGCGTCCCCCAACCCACGAGGATTGAAAAGTTCGTCTAGGAATTATGCAGATTGGCCCATTCACTATGACATGTTCCTCCTATGCAGCCAAAGGAACTGGGTCTGTTACCAGAAGAGGTGGGAGAGGGGTGCTAGGCAGATTCAACAACAGCCACTACAACATCTGAGGAGGAGACCTCCATGAAGGCCACCAAGTCTGTTAGCAGATATTTCCTCCCTCGGATCGCTCTCCCTATCCTCACAGTCTCATAAGTGAGGATTAAATGCTACATGTGGTGTAGGAGATCTTAGACCCTCCACACAAAGATATAGTAACAATCAGCATCCTAATATCCTGGCAGAGAAAAAATCAGAAAGAATCGTTTGCCTGATTTTTCCATCAATACCAAGAATTAATTAGAGATGAAATTTGTAATGGACTCAGAGAATTAGAGAAGATCTAAGGGAATCTCGATGATTTCCTACCCCTAACCAGAGCCTGACAAAAAAAGGTGAAGGTCTATGGCCATCTTGTATTTGTTATGAGGCTGGACAAGGAAGCTCCGAAGGTCGTTTAGACTCTGAGAGATCATGAGTCTGTAAAACCCTTCCAACTTGAAATTAGTTGATTCCTTCCTTAAATTGTCTAGGACATTCCCCCACTCCCTCCACTCTTATTAGCTGATTTTACTGACCAATAGGCCTTGAAGTTGGTGGTTCCATCTAGATGTCTCACATCCAACTCCCCTTTTGCAAATTAAGCCCATACCCTGAAACAGGGGAATTCTGAAGCCATTAGAAACTAGAGAGTCAGCCAGGCATGGTGGCTCATGCCTGTAATCCCAGCACTTTGGGAGGCCAAGGTGGGTAGATCACTTGACGTCAGGAGTTCGAGTCCAACCTGACCAACATGGTGAACCCCCGTCTCTACTAAAAATAGAAAAATTAGCCAGGGGTGATGGCATGCACCTGTAATCCCGGCTACTTGGGAGGCTGAGGCAGGAGAATCGCTTGAACCTGGGAGGTGGAGGTTGCAGTGAGCCGAGATAGCACCAATGCACTCCGGCCTGGGCAACAGAGTGAGACTCAGTTTCAAAAAACAAAAAAACAAACAAACAAAAACTAGAGGGTCTCCTCTTAGCTCTTAAACCCTCTTAGCCAACATTTGTGAGCCTCTTTTCTGTATGTTTTGGCATCTTTATCCCTTTCCTTTGTGTCTTGACCAAATTCACCAGATCATGACTCAGAACAAAATCCTGAGGTTGAATACAAAGGTCTAGAACATCTTCAAATTAACTTTTTCTCCTCATACAGAATTAGACAAATTGAGAAAGCAAGAGGGAGTGTGTGGAGTTTTTGTCCTCATTTTCCTCTTTCCTGTAGTAGGTAGAATAATGGCTGCCCAGAGATGTTCACATCCTAATCTCTGGAATCCATGAATATGTAATGTTGTATGGCCAGAGGAGAATTGAGATTGCTATTAAAATGACTTAAAATGGGAGATTATCCTGGATTATCCAGATGGGCCCAATGTAATCACAAGTGTCTTTAAAAGTAGAAGGAGGAGGCAGAAGATTAGGTCAGTCCGTGATACAATGTGAGAAAAGCTCGGCCTGACATTGCTGGCCTGGGAGATGGAAGAAGGGGCCACAAGGGGTACCAGCAGCCTGTAGAAAGTAGAAAAGGTAGAAACACAGATTCTTCCCTGGGGCCCCCAGAAAGGAACACAGCCCTGCCAACACTTTGAATTCAGCCTGGTGAGACCCGTGTTAGACTTCTGACCTACTGACTGCAAGATAATAAATGTGTGTTGTGTAAGCCACCAAATCTGTGGTTATCTGTTACAAGCACAATAGGAAATTAATACACTTTCTACTTGTTTTAAGTGTGTCCTGAAAGGTTAGGTTCTTTAGGATTCCGATTGCTGAACTATATGGAGACAGCAGAGTTTAGTCAAAAGAAAAATCTTAGACAAATTAAATTTAACAGAGTTTACTTGAGCAAAGAATAATTCATGACTTGGTAGCCCCAGAACCAGAATAGGTTCAGAGAGACTCTGTTGTTGCCACGGTGTCAAAGAAGATTTGTGGACAGAAAAAGGAAAGTGATGAACGGAAAACAGAATTGAGGGACAGAAACAGCCAGATTGATTACAGCTCAGTGTTTACCTTATTTGAACACCATTTAAACAGTTGGCTGGCCTTGATTGGCCAAAACTTGATGATTGGCACAAGGGCAAGTTACAGTCTGCTCACACATCCATTAGGTTACAGCTCACTATGTATGAAGAAACCTTTAGGATGAACTGAAAATATATAAGGAGGGAGCTTTAGGCTAAACTTAACAGTGGACAAGATTTGACTCTGCTACTACGTCACCTTGTGGTTTTGGGTGAATCAGTTTCTCTGGTTCTCAGTTTCCATATCCACAAAACAAGGTCGTTTTATTAAATGATCCCCAAGACTCTCCCCCTTTAAGTTTAGACATTCAGTATCCTCTCCCTCTTCTTAATGGTGTCAAATGCTCTGGAAGCCCCAGCAAATACCTGAGCTGCCCCTGTCACCGTCCACTGCAGAGTATGGACAGGGAAAGAATGTCCACAGGGTCCAGCTCTTTCAGGACTTGTCCACCACGAGTGAGGCCATAGGAGGTCAGGGCGGGCACAGCAGCTGCCAGTTCTCTCCACTCAGGAAGAACATACCCGATGCCAAGGAAGAAGCACTGTGGGGACAGAGGTGCTAGAGAATTCTAAAACCCAAGTGGCCATGGAAATCCTCCTAAAGGCAAGGAAACGTGTTAGCTTCACAGGAGAGATGGGCTCTGAATAAGGACACTGTATCCAGAAGTTGGGGTGACAAGAAAGACACCAGGTGGGTTATCATGGTGAATGGGCTAGGCTGGAAGAAAAGGTTTTGTGATAGGCATAAGGTCAGAAAGATCTGTTAAAACCAGATGGTGGGGCCTTAAAAGGTTCCAGGACAAGGACAGGAGGCTGAGGGAATGGCTTGATGAGGCCCTACTGCACTTTGTGCCATGTTGTATGCCCAGTAGTAAGCAGCAGGCACATAATAGGTGCTCAAGACAATAGGTGCTCAGTATGTTTTGGCTGAATAAATAAATAGGTATCAACGTATTTTTAGCAGGACATTGCCATTATCCAAGATGAATTTAAGGAAGATAAGTGGGACCTCCATAGACAGAGTGGACTGAAGGAGGCAGAGATGGAACATCTGTATGCTAGTCAAGAGGCTGCCAAACTGATTCAGACATAAGGGTCAAGCTCGGATGTTGGGCAGTGCAAACTGAAAGGAAGAAACGCAGGTGTCATGAAGACTAAACCATTCCAACTGGGAGGATGTCATTTCCATTCATGCAAATCTCCAAGGAAGGAGACCCACCACCTCATGAATAAGAATGCAATAACCCAGACAGGCCGGCACACCGGAGCAAAATCCTCGGGCAGCCATGGAAGCAAGCATTCAACCAACACCATATTTTCAGTAGAAATGACCACTAATTTCTACACAGGTATTCTGCTTATAATCAAAGCTAATTCTTAGTTCACCCTTGCTACCCCTAGACTCAACAACTCGAATTCTCCTAACTGCTTTCAGAGATCCATTCACTGAGTCTTCTCATTATTTCCATTTTTCTTCCCTTATCCCACTCCGGGTCCTCTCTGCCTTAAGTCATTTAGCTGGATCAGACCAGGTTTGCTCCAGTCACACTCATCTGACAGGCCTGCTTTTCCTCTAAGTAGCTGGCAGGAGCATAGCTCTGCTCCGGGAGGGGGACCTGTCCTCACGGGAACATGGCAGTTATGCTCCAAGTCCAGCTGGCCAAGAACTCAGACTGTCCTCCCTTGAAAGTTCCCCCACAGAAATCAATGAGAGCCCACCTCCAGACAGTGGCTGGCCTCCGATCCCAGAGGAACTCACCATCCTTTTCCTCTCCATCATCCTCTCGAAGCTTCCCCATCTCTGCCTCAGCCAAAGTCCAATTGGGCAGGGACAGAAGAGTAATTGAAGAAGGCCTTAAGGGATATCAAAGTGCTATTGAGCAAAACCACAACTCAACAGCCGTGCAGGTGCTTCCTGCGACAGGGAGGGAAAGAAGTGTCTGTAGAAAGCCCTAAATAACTCTAGGCAGGGATGTCAGCTTGACAAATGACTTGCGAGAAATAGCCCCGTTGTTCTCTGGTGTGTGATTCATCCGAGGCTGTGCTGGGGTGGGGGCACGGCCCAACCGTGAGTCCCACCCTTGGTCACTTGGGGCCGCTCTTCAGCTTGGCTCCAGGATGGCTAAGAAGGCACTTTTGTTGGTGCTGTTGACCTCTGTCACTTTGACCTTGTTTTCCAGTGGTTTTATTTAGTGGTTTGTGCTGATTTGGTTTGAGCTGCATCCAGAGGAGGACAGGAACTGTGGGGAGACTCTTTCTAAGCATCCAAAGGCCTCTCTCCCTTTGATGTTAGCTCCCAGTGCTTCTCACCATCATAACAACAAAGACCAGGGGCTCCTCGGGGCAGAAGCTCCTTTCATCTCCCTGTTCCCAGCTCCTCAAAGAGCTGGCTTATTGAAATGCTTGTCACATGTTGAATGGATAAGTGAAAATATCCCAAGACCAAGGGATATGACATGACAGCTAGTTTCTAGACTTAGCGCCAGGACCTTGACAAGGTACACAGGGTCTCTGGGCCTCTGTATCCCCGTCTGTGAAATAAGAAGGCAAGCTCTTGGGTCCCCTCAAACTCAGACCTTGAGGTTCAGAGAGGCCTGCAGAGGCTGACTGGGGCCTGCACCCAACTCGCAGGGAGGGGAACAAAGGTAAGGAGAACATGAGGGATCCGTGGTTGTTTTGCATGCCCAGCAGTGGGAGTAAACACTAGCATGTTGAACACTTGCATGAAAGGTGTATGATGTTTTCAGTTAGGAGGTCGGCCTGGAGACCCCCTGCAGTAACACTAGATGAATGTATTGTGAGCAGCCAGTGTGCTGGTGTGGAACTCATAGGACACAAACAGCACCACTAGCCTCCCTGACTTTATTGGGTCCTCTTCAGCAAGGTGTCCCAGCCACCAGCTGGGCATTTAGTCTTTGGTTTATGGCGTGTTTTGTTTTTTTTGGTTGGTTTTTTTTTTTTTTCTTCCCATGAAACAGCACAGCAAATCCATTGTTAGAGGCGGGCCGTCCCACCAGCAGGGACAATTTCGTGAGTGAGTCATGCTGAGGAGGCGCTGTGTGAGGTGGGGCTGCGGTTTATAATGAAGTCCTGGGGCTGTACCGAGGAGACGGCCCAGTGTGTCCCAGTGCAGAGCCCATTTCTCAAAGCGGTCCTCGTCTGATACATTTTCTCATGCTGGTGGATGTGCTCTGGGTTTTAATGCCTTTAGTTTCCATCAATGGTAGCTTTGTCAGTGTTAACCGAAAGGAAGACAAATTTGTTTGAAATCAAAGCCTTGTGGATGCCTAAGTGTGTACCCTTCTCTGTGCAGAAAATGGTGGTAATCTTGAGATTGAAGACTTGAATGAAGTTGTCTTCTTTATGGAAAGGCATTTCAGCAACTGTAATTAATGGTCACAGAAGTCATCAAAAGTTTTAACAATCCCAACAATCCCAGCTTCCCCTCTGCAAATCATTTTAGGTTTTTATATACAGATTGCTGATGCCCCTATTAAGACTCTTACTGCTGTAAAAGTCAGGTAGGTGAGATTTCAACTAGCCCTTCATTTGTCCTTTCATTTACATAAAGCATCCAGTTACTCTTATACCTTGACGTTGCTTAAGCTGGTCTGATGGGAAATGGCTTTGTTTCAACAGTAGATATTTTCCAAAGTCTGGTAATCTCCAGGGAGTGGACAGACTTCCCACTGCAGAATTGAGGCAGATAAAAGGAAAAAGAAGTGCTCTCACGGCAAGACAGCAACACCTTCATATACGTGCGTGCACGCGCTCACACACACACACACACACACACACGCCATTTGGGTGCAGAGTAAATACCTAGTTGACATATCTTTTCTGAAACACAGATTCTGAAACCACACAAACCTGGTTTGATCCCTCGCTACCACTTGTTATCTTGTGAGCCTGGATAAGTTGATTAACCTTTCTGAGCTTTGGTTCACTTGTTTATAAAATGAGGAAAATTAAAGGACCAAACCATAGTATTGTTGAAAGATCAAAGGAAGTAATATACATAAAGCACTTAGCACGGTGCCTGGAATATTCCAAGGTGTCGAACAAATGATTGATAATCATAACAATAACAATAACAGTAACAATTTTCCTCTTTCCTGACAGAACTCTCAGCTCCGTGGTGCTCTATAGAAAGTCAGAGTTGATTCCATTTGGGGTTTACCATTTAGGATTCACTATGAGGCAGAAGTACAATGTATGTTACAAGCTATTATTATTATAAATACGAATTCCTGGAGCAGAGCCAATACGCAGTGGTCTGAGTTTGAAGGGACCTGAGATCTTACTTTCTTATCTCAAAAACAAGGATATGTAGGCCCAGAAACCCTGAGTGCTGACCAAGTTTCCAGCTACTTATTCTTACAGTTAAGACCAGAAACTAGTTATGAGTCTTGGTCTTGGGATCTTTTCACTTATCCATTCTATATTTGGCAAGCATTTAAGTAAGCCAGTTCTTTCAGAAGCTGGGCATAAGAAAAGGTGCCCATGGGCCGGGTGCAGTGGCTCACGCCTGTAATCCCAGCACTTTGGGAGGCCGAAGCCGGCAGATCACTCGAAGTCAGGAGTTCGAGACCAGCCTGGCCAACATGGTGAAACCCTGTCTCTACTAAACATACAAAAATTAGCCAGGTGTGGTAGTGGGCACCTGTAATTCCAGCTACTTGGGAAGTTGAGGCAGGAGAATCGCTTGAACCCAGGAGACAGAGGTTGTGATGAGCTGAGATCGTGCCACTGCACTCCAGCCGGGCAACAGAGGGAGACTCCGCCTCGAAAAAACAAAGAAAGAAAGAAAAGAAAAGGGGCTCATGGTCTTTGTTGCTATGATGGCAAGAAGTGCTGGGAGCTAACATCAAAGGGAGAGAGGTGTTTGGATGCTTAGAGAGCCAGTCTCTGCACGTTTCTCATCCTCCATTGAATGCAGCTCATACCTAAACAGCACAAATCCAGGAGAAGCAAAGCAGCCTGCAGTGTGGACAAAAGGGCTGAAACAAGAAGTCCACACTGAGAGCTCAGCTTCAGGCTTTCTTCCTGAGACCCTCCCCTGTCCCAAGTGAAATACAGTTTTTGCTGCATTAGGCAAAACATCTTAATTAGCAAGGAACCGATAGTTTCATAATCTTTAAAAAGAGTCCACAGTTCTCAAACACCCCCTCACATGGATGCACGTGAGGTATAAGACAGCAACCCAATGTCTGTTACTATGGAACTCAATGGTGTAAAATTAATTCACTAAAGCACACACCCACTGCAAAAAAAAAAAAAAAAAAAAAACCACAAAAAAAAAACCAGCCTTTGCCAGCTAGGTGCTTCAGAAGGTGATATAGTTTAGATGTGTGTCCCCCTCCAAGTCTTATGTTGAAATGTAATTCCAAATGTTGGAGGTGGGGCCTAGTGGGAGGTGTCTGGGTCATGGGGGCAGGTCCATCATGAATGGCTTGGTGCCATCCCCTTGGTGATGAGTGAATTCTGTATTAGTTCATGTGAGAGTTGGTTGTTTACAGAGCTTGACACCTCCTCCTCCTCTCTCTGGCTCCCTCTTTCACCAGGTGACATGCCTGCTCCCCTTTCACCTTCTGCCATGAGTAAAAGTTCCCTGAGACCTCACCAGAAGCCAGTCGGATGGGGGTGCCATGCTTGTACAGCCTGCAAACCGTGAGCCAAATAAGCCTCTTTTCTTTGTAAATTGCCCAGTCTCAGGTATTTCTTTATAGCAGTGCAAAAGGGACTGATAGAGAAGGCATTGATGTCACACTACATACAACATTTGCTTTCTGAGAGTCGCCTCCCACTCAAACGTAAGCTCCACATGTTCAGGGATTTGCCATGGATCTGTTCACTGCTGCATAGCCAGTGCCTAGAACAGCACCCAGGCAGGCAGCCAATAAATATTTATTGACCCAGTAAATGAATCATACATGAACCAAGTATGAACAGTGGAGGCTGTGGACTGTCTCATATGTGAGTTATTTACCATCTCTGTGCTGAGTTTCCTTATCTTGAAAAGGCTATATTAATAGGATTGTCATAAGAATTATTGGCTTGTGTAAATGTCTTTAAAGCAGTGCTAATGTTACCTATTTTGGGCTCCATAGAGATTGTGCTTTTTCTATGTCCTCACAGAGGAATGGCAGATAGATCTTCAGCAATGTAACATATATACCTGAAAATTATTTCACTCAAATAATCATGTTAGAAAAGTCCTGAAAGAGCCTGGGCAAGGTGGCTCATGCCTGTAATCCCAGCACTTTGGGAGGCCATGGCGGGTGGATTGCCTGAAGTCAGGAGTTCGAGGCCAGCCTGGGCAACATGGTGAAACCCCGTCTTTAGCCACACATGGCAGCGTGCACCTTTAGTCCCAGCTACTTGGGAAGCTGAGGCAGGAGAAGTGCTTGAACCCGGGAGGCAGAGGTTGCAATGAGCCGAGATCACACTACTGCTCTCCAGCCTGGGTGACAGAGCAAGATTCAAGCTCCAAAAAAAAAAAAAAGTCCTGAAAAGGATTTTTGGTGGTTGTTTATTTGTTGCTTGGTTTGACTTGTTTTCTTAAAAGGCCAGATGTGTATAAGGTGCTTGGTTTTATTCTCACTGTTTTATATGAAGTGTTCAGACTCACCCATGATACCAAAAGAGCCATATTATATTTGGACACTTTTCCTGGTGATCCCCTTCCTACAAGACTGGAACATGTAACCTCCTAGACACCCTGATGATTCTCTAGTATCAATCCCCGTCTTGGAAGAGGGCCTCAAAGAGGTTTCCAGGTGGTGAGCCAGGCCAACCTCCTCAGGCAGCGAATCACACCATCCCTAAAGCTCATACCAGCTCACAGATAAGGCCTCTCAGCTAGACCCCTCCAAAAGCTTCAGCTCAATTAAAAACAAAGTACATATGGTTGACTTTAATAAAAAAACTGAGCAAACAATCAGAACAACAACTAGCAAAATGTGTGAATACCTGTTTCTAAGGTACTGGAAACAACTTACAGACATGAATTCACCAAGTCTTATAAAATAGGGGGTAAGGGCACATAGCCTCATATTTATTTTACCAAAGAAAACAGAAAAAGTCATTAAGAACCAGCAATTGAATCCAGTCTCTGGCTCCTGGATGCACTGTTTAGGTAACCGCACACCCACCTGAAGTTCTCTATTAAAAGCCAATACATTGAGAAAACAGCCATTCACATATTATACTGCTGAATCTGGCTTGGGACATTGCATTTGTAATAATAAATATTTGCATACAAAGAAGAGCTGCAGAAATAGCATGGATTTTGGTATCTGAAAGATGAAGTCAAATTCCAGCCATGTGATCTTCAACAAGTTACTTACGTAATCTGAACACAACTTTGTTCTGTAAAATGTGGGTAAGGATAGCACACCAGCAATGCTGTTATAAAAATTATGGATGCTGTCTGTAGATCTACTTCCAGTAGATTGCCTTGTTTATAAATGATACTTAGAAAAGGATGATGACGATAATGACGGCCTTCCCTATTCAAAAAGCACATTCTCAGCTGGCCACAGTGGCTCCCACCTATAATCCCAGAACTTTGAGAGGCCTAGGTGGAAGAATTGCTGGAGCCCCGCAGTTCAAGACCAGCCTGGCTACCATAGTGAGATCCCTTCTCTACAAAAAGAAATTATTTTTAAATTAGCTGGACATGGTGATGCAAGCCTGTAGTCCCAGCTACTCAGGAGGCTGAGATGGAAGGATCGCTTGAGCCTAGGAGGTTGAGGTTGCAGTGGAACATGATCATGCCACAGCACTCCAGCCTGGGTACAGAGCAAGATCTTGTTTCAATAAATAAATAAATAAATGTAAATAAAACAAAACTTCTCAGGTTGAACGAACACTTTGTCTTTCCCCCCAGTAGTGTTAGTACTTATGAAAACATCAGGTGCTAAGATTTAATAGCTTATTAGGTCAAGTTTTTTGGGGGATCCATTAGCAGAAATTAGATTTGCTGTTATTTATTTGACCACAACTTTGCATGATCC